CCTTCCTTCCTGACTTGAGATTGGACTCCAACTTGTGATGTCCGTGGCTTAGCCTTCAAGAGTGCTAGAAGTACAGGGAATGTTTAAGGAGTTTGAATTTTTTTGGCGAGGAGTAAAATCTGTTTGGAGCTGGAGATCCCTGGTTTCCCCATTTTGAAGCTTCCTCACCTGAGAAGCACACACATGCATCAAAGATGTCAGTGGAGCATTCGCGCTGTTTGGATCTTTGATGAGTAGAGAAAAATAGTACCTGGGGCTTGAAGGAAAGAAGAGGACTTGAGCACGTTTTCTAACCTGCGTGGAGTCCACTTTCCCGTGTTTTCTCAAGCATTTCACTAGTACCGTAGATTTCCAACCATGGAAGATAACGTAATACGAGTGAAAAGTTCAAACCGCCACTGGAGATACCGGGAATCGAACCCGGGACCACGTACGCGCGAAGTACACGCTCTACCACTGAGCTACATCCCCATGCAGTGTGGTGGGCTTCCTCAGGCTATTCTTATGTGTTATGTGGTGCACGGTCCCTCCAGGGAGGGCGGATGGGGTTAGCCGGAAATCAGTCCGCAGACCCGCGAGCTGTTCCTGGCTCCGCTTCCTCTACACGGAGATCTTCACCCAGGGAGCCTAGAGTTCAGAAGGAATCTGAATAAGACCCGGGAAACGGCTGTAGCAAAAGGATAGGAAATGTTGAGGCATCATGTCCAAAATGAACTGTACCCCGCGAAAGGGATGTAAGAAAGACTGTGTAGTACGCTATTTTTATTTTATTGTATTTATTTGTTTTACGTTTCGGTACTGGGGATTGAACTCGCTCAGTTGTGCTTGCAAGGCAGGCCGCCGAACCGCTGAGCTAAATCCCCGCCCCTGTTCCTATGTTTATTTTTATTTATTTATTTATTTTTGGTACCTTGAGTCAAACTTGAAAGCTTGTGTTTCTGAGGCAGGCGGCAGAACCGTTGAGCCAAATCCCCAGCCCTGCTATGTTTAATTTTTAAAAATGACTGTAAAATATATAATATTTAAATAAAGGAATCCAGAATAGTAAAAACAAAAAGCATATAAACAAAAAAGTTGGTTTGAAGGCTTTTGGGGGTTTGGCTCAGAGGTTCCGCCGCTGGCTTCACAAGCACACTGAAGGCCCGAGTTCAAACCCCAGTTCCAAAACTAGAGCTGGCTTTAGAAGATGTCTCAACTGACTTACTACTGAAATATTTGTATCAGCCTTTTTCGGGTAAAATCATAGACCATTAGCTTTTTAAAAATGTTTTATTTTTTATGGTACCAGGGATGGAACTCAGGACTTTGCACTTGCAAGGCAGTCCCAGTGTCACTGTGCTACATCCCCCATGTCCCAGCTTTTTAATTTTTTAAAAAGTTTTTTACAGTTTTTTTGCAGCAAGGTCTCACTGTGTAGTTCAGGCTGGTCTCGAATTCATTATGTAGCCCAGGCCTCAGCCTCCTGAGTACTGGGATTACAGGCGTGTGGCACCACACTCTGCTTGCAACGTGATTTTTAATATTTTCGTAATTTTCTAAATACCAGCATGTAAACTTACCTATTTAATATGACAGATAAAATTTTATTCACTGAGAAATTGTGTATTAATTTCCTTCAGTCATCTTTTCCACCTTATCTCAAAACTCTCTTTGACTGCCTTTATCTGATTCAGTGAATTTCAAACTATTTTTGAAAAGGGGACTGAAGGAAGGCAATTAACTGTAAACAGAAAAAAGTTATCAAGTTAATCCTTTGAAAATTTTCTCTTCAATGTGAGTTTTTTTGTTTGTTTTCTTGAGACAGGGTCTCACTATGTAGTTGAGAGTGTCCTGGAGTTTATTGTGTAGCCCAGCTGGTCTCGAACTCATAGCGATCCTCCTGCCTGAGCCTCCCGAGTGCTGGGATTACAGGCGTGTGCCACCACGCATGGCAGTAATTCTAATTTTTACAGAAATGCTTCTTCAAAAGATATTTTCTCTCATTCCCTTATCTCCTCCACTGAAGGAGGTATGTTTCTCCCCCAAGCTAAATCTGAGCATTCAAAACTGATTCCAGGCAGAAAATCTCTGCAAATTAAACTCAAAAACAAAAATAGAAAAATTATATTTTGATATGTGTATATGTATATTTATATATGTATATTTCTACTGATTGGAATCCTCCAGCATTTAAAAATTACTTCAGAGATGAATTTTGGGATCCTGCTGCTCACAGATCCAAAATCCTTAATGATTTAAGAACATACTTCCCATATCCTTCTGGGTGACTCCCTCCCCTCCAAGACAGTTCAAACAGTCATGGCTCAAGTTTAATGGGAAGAGAGAACGTTTCTGAGTCGTCTTTTGTTTATTTTTCCTTTGGTGATCTGGGTGGCACGTGCTGTTCTTTGCCATTGCGTCCAGTCACTCCCTGAGGTATAGCCCTGTGGCTAAACTGGTGTCTCTGTTCCCTGATTTTTCCAGCTGCTCCCCTGAAATGGTATCGCCTCGAAAGCCAGAATAATCTTTCCTAGCCTTTGCTCTTGGCTTCTCATGTGGTTCCTCGACAGACTTCTCAGGAGCTCCATTCTCTTGGTTTTTGGTGGGAGAGCCTGCATTGGAGCGCAGTTCTCGTAGTGGCTGCACAAGAACTGGAGATGGCTCTTTACGGGGCTTCTGGCACACTTCAGCATGACTTAAGTAATTTTCGGGGTTCCTCTAGGGGCACGGCTGCAGTTACATTTATGTTGCTATTACATGGTAAAGCTGCATTTGCTCTTGAAGGCTTTGCAGTACTCGCGGAAGAAACTGGTGTTGTCATCTGACTGATAACATCCTTCTGATCCATGGAATCATCTATTATATCTTTTTCTTTCTGAATTGTGCTTAATACGGGAAGCTCCGCTGCACATGGAGGACTGGTATTTGTACGGAGTTGCTGGGCTGAAATACAGTCTGTCTGTTCATCTTCTGCCGGGACTGGGTGACTAACTCTCAAGTCTTCATTCCCCTTTTCTTTGCAGACACTTAATGACCTTAGACATTGTAGTCTCCAAAAGGAGGGTTTTTTTTTTTTTTTTTGTACCAGGGATTGAACTCAGGTCCTTGTACTTTCAAGGCAGGTGGCAGAACCACTGAGCTAAATCCCCAGCCCCACCTGGCATTCTTGATGAACTTCCAGGTAAAGTAGGAAAATTTGAAGCTAGTAAGTCAAACTTTGTTGCTGGAGACTTTGCTTCAGCTGAAGGATGAGGTCTTGGGATATTTCATCTTCTTGTCGTCTTTGACCTCTGAAAAGATTTCTGCCCCTACCATAGTCTCCATTTTGTTCCATCTGTAATGTGGGAGTCTCCTTTGGAAGGTAAGTTTGCTCTTGATACCCTGTTACTGTAGGGTTATGTAGCTCAGGTGCAAAGTTCCTTGAACTAGATCTGTACAGTGGTCCATCCCCCAATGACACAGAGCCCTCTGTTGAGTGTTCCATAGCACTGGATGACCTAAAATGAAGCTACACATGATTTTTGGGGAATGGCTGACCCATATTCATAGCAACAGCATCTTTTTTTTGAGACAGGGTCTCACTATGTAGTTGAGACTGACCTGGAACTCACTATGTAGCCTAGGCTGGTCTCCAACTCACAGCGATCCTCCTGCCTCAGCCTCCTGAGTGCTGGGATTACAGGTGTGCGCCACCACGCCCGACAGCAGCATTTGTTTTATAAGATACTGGTGAGTTAAAGCCATTCACAGAATGACCATTGGGGAAGGGAGCCAGTGGTATTTCAAAGTAAGGTGCAGGACTTGGAGACCAAGACTGAGGCACAGTACTATAAACTGAGTACTGATGGTGAGGATTACATACAGGCTGCATAAAAACTGGCGAGGCATACTGTGCTTGAGCTTGAATGGGCTGATTATACATACTAGAATCCATTAATCGATAACTATTCTTAGCAAAGAATGTATTGATGGCTTTTATCCTTGCCATGATTGGCTTGCCCTGAAATGTTTTAACTTCTTAACTTAAGTATTTAAATACCTGTTGTGCATCAGTATCTGACTGGAAGGTGATGTGCCAGTTGCTATTGTGTGAAAAGCCACAGTTTATTACTTTGGGGCAGTTTTCATTTTTGAACTAAGCTTTCATCTCCTCTACTGGTGTAGTTTCAGGAATCTCTCTGGGAATCACAATACAACGTGTATGACTCGGTCTCACTTTCTCACCCCTCTCATCAATTTGTACCATTGGAGATGATCTCAACACTTCAAGAATTAGATCAAGATCCGTGGTCAACTTTTTTATTTCTTCCATGTTGGCAACTGTTCATATTGGGACAAACCGATCACTATCCATTTGGGATGTCATGTAGAGATCCTTTGATAAATTTTTTCATGAAAAACAGAATTCTAATTGTTTCTTCAGATATTCTTTTAGATCGTATGTAGAAATTGCCGAGAGCTGGGTGTGGTGGCACACACCTGTAATCCCAGCACTCGGCAGGCTGAGGCAGGAGGATCCCTGTGTGTGCAAGACCAGCCTGGTCTACATAGTGAGTTCCAGGTCAGTCTCAACTACATAGTGAGACCCTCTCTCAATGCCTCCCGCTCCAAAAAAAGAAATAGCCGAACTGCTTTCTCCAGAAATGTCATATATTTGGTACCTCATATAATGCCAGTTGTATTTCTTGTAGTTTCACAAGACAGACAGCACATTATTTCATATTCTTTACACATATCTTCTGAAAGCTCTGTACTGATCCCAGTCTGAGACCCTGGTGCGGCTGCTATTTCATGCCAAGAGCTTTCAGTTCCAGGAATTACAGGAGTGGCATCGGGGTTTCCAGCAGGAATTTCTTGCCATACTTTAGCAATAGGATTTAAACCAGTCCCTTTAGATGTCACTTGCTCCACGGTAGAGCGACATGTTTTCCTCCGCTCTGCTCAATCGTTTCCCGTCAACGCGACTCCAACTGGTTCACAGGCTGGAGCCCCAGTCGCTAGCTTTTTTTATTATCATTTTAAGGGGAGATTTTATTACAGCGTGGCTTTTAGGAACCTACAGTAGATTTTACTTCCCTCATGTGTTACATTGGTCTGCTTTACTATAATGAAGTATTTGTGAGCTACTATATAAAGGAAATTTTGTTTTGTTTATTTGAGACATGGTCTCGCTATGTAGTCCAGGCTGGTCTCGAACTCACCGTGTAGCCAAGCTGGCCTCGAACTCAGCAATCCTTCTGTCTCATCTCTCTTTTCTTGTAAAGCCACCAGGATTGAATCCCAAGGGCCCCTCACTCATGATTTAATCTAATTTAACCACTTTCCAAGTGCAGCTCAATACACCGTGGTCGGATTAAGTTTTCCGCACCCATCTCTTCACGAGTTTGGAGCGACAAATCGTATTCAAACCATACCATACGTTATGGAAGAAGGCAAATTGTTCAGTTCAGTGGTGAAAGCATTTTGTTTTGTGTTTAGTGAAATAATTTCAGTTATGAATTGAAACTGAGAGGAGATAGTGTTGAGAATGATAGCACACTGAAGTCTTGGAAGAAAAGTTTTGCCTGTACGATCAATTACTAATTTTGTGATATTTTATTTCTAAAATTTAGCCTAATATATTAATATTTTAAATTCTCTCAGGTTTTTTTTTAATGAAACAGAAGCAGAAACAAAAGTTTGTGTAAAATCTTGTGATCCAGAAAATAAAGCCCCAAAACTCAATTTGGCGGTTTTTTTGTTTGTTTGTTTTTGACACAGGGTCTCCCTATGCAGTTCAGGCGGGCCGTGAACAAACTATGCAGCCCAGGCTGGCCTCAAACTCATGGCAATCCTCCTGCCTCATTCTCCTGAGTTGTGGGATTATAGGTACGTGCCACCATGCCTCGCTGTTGTTTGGTTCTTTTGAGACAGGGTCTCACTTTGCAGTGCAGGCTGGTCTTGAGCTCATTGTACAGCCCAGGTTGGCCTTAAAGTTGAGGCGATCCTCCTTCCTCAGCCTCCTGAGTGCTGGGATTCCAGGCGTGCACCACCATGCCTGACAGCATACTACTTTTGTGACTTGAATTTGACTAAAAATTTAAACATATATATATGTATGAATGTTTGTACTGCTTGATAAGCGATGCTTGTTAATGCTTTTATTTAAATTATTCAGCTCTAGAATTATTGATAATATGCCACTGATATGGTGTCTTGGACAGAAACTATAGAAAAATGCTGCGCAACAGGATTTCCGGTAGGATGTTTTATTACCAAGCTCAGCCTGTGGATACAGATTATACACTCTTTCTGTTCTCTAGAAGTTCACAGTCCGGAATGGTACATGACAGCTTCAAGGGCCAAGGGGATGCAGGTCAGGCAAGTGGGTGAGAATTTCCAGTGGAGAAATGAGTATGATCAAGCAGTCAGAAGTGCCGAGCAGCATCCTGTGATGGGAGACTGTCCAACTGTGTGTATGGTAGGGTTTGCGGTTGGGTGGTGCAGCTAGAGAGGAAGCTGGACAGCCGGGGTGGGAGCCAGGTGCCAAAGGCAATGGCACTGAAGCCCAGTTAGGGGCCGCAGTGCCCTCTGACAAGTGCCTCAGCTGCCCCGGTCCCTCCATAGAGCCATACAGACTGCCCAAGAAGCTGAACCTCTGAGAGGGTCAGCCAGCCTGCAAGTGGCAGAGGTCAAAGTTGAACTTGTGTTTTTAGCTTGGAAATTCCAATCACGGTATGTGTGAAATCCACTTATCTCTCTCTCTCCCTCCCCCTCCCCACTTTCTGACTTTTGCAGTGTTGGGGATTGAACCAAGGTCCTTGTGCCTGCTAGGCAATTGTTCTGCTGCTAAGCTACATCTCTAGGTGAGTAGCTGGGTTTCTCAAGTTTGAGTCATCCATGTGCCATCTCGCTAACTTTGTTTCGGTGGCACTGGGGATTGAAGCCAGGGTGTCGAGCATGCACAAGCTCTCTACTGCAGAGCAACACCCTCAGCCCCACCCAGCCGGGTGACTTTTGCTGCACCTGAGGCATCGATGTATTATTCATTTTTAAAACATCCATTATTTAATTTAGATTCATTTGGAAAGGAAACCAAAATGTCTCAGAGCTACAGGTTTAATATGCTACTTATATTTTTTAATCCATCTAATTTCAAGTAAATATATAAAGGTACAAATTATTTTTCCATCTCCTACCTAGAAATCATCTCTATATCCCTAGTTGTGTATGTGCTTCACAGTGGGAAGCAGTGAGATAGGGACCATGGGAGAGGAAGCAAAATACAACTATGTAACTGATAGTTCTTTTAAAGGAGCTACAGCAGGGCGTGGTGGTGGACGCCTGTAGTCCCAGCACTTGGGAGGCTGAGGCAGGACGATCACCATGAGTTGGAGGCCAGTCTGGGCTACATAGTGAGTTCAAGGCCAGACTGAACTACATAGCAAGACTCTTCTCAACAAACAAAGTGCAAATTGGCAAAAAAGGGGAGTTAATGAACAGAAGAAATTTTCACTTCCATAGCTTATATCTGAGACAGTCTATGTATGAAAGTGGGTTCTTTGAGATCATCTAAAGGCTGTCTTTCATGTTCACATCTGGGAAAAATAAACACAGCAGTAGGAGGAGAGAGCCCCAGTTGGCAAGAGTAGCAATAACTATATCAATATTTATAACATCGACCTAGATATACCATGGTTAACCAAAAGGCTAAATACAATTTACAGTTGCCTTTTGTTATTCTTTTTATTTTATTCATTTTATTTTTTTGAGACATTCTTGCTATCTAGTCCAGGCTGGCCTCAAACTCCCAGCAATCTTCCTGCCTTAGCCTCCTGACTGCTGGGATAATGGATGTGTGCCCCTACGTCTCGCTTGTTATTTCTTTTATAGATAGAAATATTCATTCTTGTAAACTTTATTTTATTTTAATTCTATTTTAAAGTTTATTTGTTAATTTGTTGTGGTGCTGGGGATTGAACAACCCATGGCCTTCCCACTGAACTACATTCCCGGTCATTTAAATGTTTTTATTTTTTGATTGAGATGGGATCTTTGCTAAATTGCTCATGCTGGGCTTGAATTTGTGTTTCTCCTGCTTCAGCCTCCCGGAGTACTAGGATTATAGGCATATGTTAGCACTCTCAAGCTAAAGATATGTTTTAGATTCTGTTACTCCCTGACCCCTCATACACATAGGCTGCTTTCCATTGTAAAATTAAAGCCTCAGGCAAGATGCAGAAAAATCTTTGGTCATTGGTAATTTGGGGGGGAATAATTCTGAAAGCCTTTCTCAAAAGGTGGTCTGGGGGTATCTGAATTTTTCAGGAGTCTTCAGGGCAAAACTTGTTTTTATAATAGTACTAAACTGTTATTGCCTTGTTCACTCCTATTCTTTTAAGTGTGTACAGTGGAATTTTCCAGAGGGTGCCTGAAATGCGATGATCTCATTACTCTGGGAGCTAATGGAATCTGTGCTTGTGTTTTTAAAATATTTCATTTAGGGCCAGGGATTTAGCTCAGTAGATCCACCGCCTGCCTTGCAAATGCAGGGTCCCAAGTTCGATCCCCAGTACTCCAAAAAAATTTTTTTATTTTAAAACTGAAAGCGGCAAATATAAGTAAAAATACCCCACATAAAGAAAAGCTCTTATTTAAAAAAAAAAGAAAAGCTCTTTAGGGTCTTTAATATAATTTTTTTTCAGCTTTAATTGAGTTTATTGGTACATTTTAGGGATACAGTACAGTTACATTCATTGTTGGGATCTTGTACCTCTACATGACAAGTCTTGGTTCTCATTTTTTCCCCTTACCTCTGCCCTCCCTTCACCCCCCTCCTCCCCTCCCCATCTACAAACACTTTATTTTCAT